CAGCTTGAGATGATGGCCTCTCAAATTGCTGTTATGACTGAGTTCTAGCAAGCAGTGGCCCGTGTGCTTGGGGTCTCTCAAAATCTGGTAGGTCAAAATGTGGTCCCCGCGCAATCGTCGATACTGTCCGCTGAAGACCCCGAACACTTGTAGCCTATGTTCATACGACAAATTATACAGACCCTTAACATTTTTGGTTTCCGGCATTGGGCTATCTTCAAGACGGTGAGATTTCGCCTCAGCCATGGCTGCCAAACCTGTTTTGCGTATACCACCTGTGGCCGTATGTATGAGCCGAGAAGCTGTGGAAAAATCGAAGAGTCTTATCGTCTGAATGCACGCTTCAGGAGGTTCACGTATTGGATGCCCTCCTTCATGACACTGTTTCAGCTTGATTCGCGCGTTCAAGATCGGCCTGTACCAAAACTTTCAGATCCTTCTCACCAAAAAACGTTTGAAACTCCTGGTTGCCGAGTTTGTAAGACCACACCAACTTGTGCCTTAGGTCCAGCACTCCACATTTTTCGACATTGAATCGAAGTAGCTTCTGGATTGACCACGCGTATATCCCATCCAGATCAGCTTGAAGTACTGTGATATCATCCGGTGTAGTGATCGCTCTCCACCTCTCATTGTCATCGGCATAAATCAGGCAGTTCAAGCTTATGAGGCATGTGATGTTAATATACGTCAAAAATAATCGCGGTCCAAGTGCCGATCCCTCCGGTACTCCGCGTTCAATTCGGATGGCCTCTGACAGGGATTCACTCACTCGTACTTCCAAGCGCCGGTGAAGAAGAAACTTTTTAATTCATCCTAGGAGATGATCACCAATACCAAACTTCAGGAGTTTGAAGAGCAGAACGTTATAGTCTAACCGGTCGAACGCCTTTGTGAAGTCGAGAAAAACTACATCAACTCCTGTTATCTGAGTCTGCTGTTTCAGTTCAGCTGGATCGTGTTAGTGGTACATTTGTAGTGCACGATCGATTTCCTCGGAAGCCATGCTGTTTCGGTGCGATGTTGTTAAATTTTTCTAAGTAGGCCGTTAGCGCATCAGAAATAATAGCTTCCATGA